GATCAAAATTTGTCAAAGGGTAAAACCGCAAATTCCTAACAAATTGTCTTTTCTCATTGTTCATACAACGATGCCCACTCATCACACATGTGGCATATGCAGGTGACCGATTGAACTTGTTAAAAGGGTAAACCTTTTCTCGTTGTTCATATAACAATGCCCACTCAACACACACATGGGGCACGCATGCGGGTGACTGGTTGAACTTGTTAAAATCGCAAATTCTGTCAAAGGGTGACTGGTTGAACTTGTTAAAAGGGTAAAACCGAAAAAAAATTGCAAGTTTGTGGTATAAACAAATCAAAATTCTGTCAAAGGGTAAAATCACAAATTCCTGATAAATTGTCTTTTCTCGTTGTTCATACAATTCCCACTCAGCATACACGTGGCGTATGCAAGTGACCAGTTGAGCTTGTTAAAATGGTAAAACCAAAAAAAAAAAAAGTTGCAAGTTTGCAGTATAAACAAACCAAAATTTTGTTAAAGGTTAAAACCGCAAATTCCTGACAACTTGTCTTTCCTCGTTGTTCATATAACTCTAGTTTGCAAGGATGTTTGTACATTTGACTGGAGTAACAATGTTAATAAGTGCCTTTCCCACAAAAAAACTCTCTATCCTGATGTCATTCAAACGTTACACATGATTTTTTTAACTATGTGTTTGCCTTCATGGCAACACATTCATTTATTTGCATGAGAAACAGTGCAATAATATTTGGTGCAAATAATGATTTGTTTGCAAGGGTGTTGAGATATTTGACTGTTGGATACTTCATACTTGGATTCTCCAAAAGACAATTGACAAATGTTATGGCCCACTAACTCCTACAGCTACCAAGACTCTAGAGAAGATCAAAGGTGAAGCTGCAGAGTATAGGGCTGTGTTTTGTGGAAATTAGAAGTATCAGGTTACAGGTGGTGAAGGTGTGGACCAATGTGCAGTTGACATAACACAACATACATGCTCATGTAACAAGTGGGAGGTCACTAGCATACCATGCAAGCACACAATTGCAGCTATATGGGATATGAGGAGAAATAATGAGAATCTTGGGATACCTGAAACATGGGTTCACCCAACATACGCGTTGAAGACATGGCAATAGATGTATGCCTTTAAAATTGATCCAATTAAAGGGAGGATGATATAGGCAAAAAGTCCTTGTCCAACAAAGTTACTACCACCAAAACATCATGTGCCTATTGGTAGGCCAAAAAAGAAAAGAAGAAGATCTGCTACTGAAGATGATAGTGCTATAGGGACCATAATAGTTAGGTATTCAAGGTGTGCAAATGTTGGGCATAATGGTAGGAGCTGCAAGGAGAAGGCAGTGGGAGGATTACAGGCCAGTGGTAGTGATGTGGGACAAAATGTTGGTGTGGGACAGAACTCAAGTGTTGTGAACAATGGAAAAAGTCAGATGGTTTAGTGTTTGTGTATTACTTTCTTGTCTTTTGGCTGGCTAACGCTTTTTATGTACTTGAAACAATGTTCTTTCATGCCTTTTGGGTTTGTAATTTCAGTTTGAACTAATGTTGTGCTACTTCTTTAACTATGATGGTGATGTACTTCAAACTATGTTGACTTGATGAATTTTTGTAATGGTTTGAATGACTTAATGATTAATTAGGTTGTTAATGTATGAATCCATGTTTGTAATGGTTTGATGACTTAATGGTATGATATAAATTATTGTTTTGGTATGAATACTTAATGGTATGATATAAATTGTTGTTTTGGTATGAATACTTTGGTATGAATACATGTTTGGCAATTACCAAAAGAACACCCAATTTTCATTAACATGCAAACTGATACATCCAACTTGAGTTTGTATAACTAAAAGGTAAACATATTTGATAACTTATCCTACACGTTGTACACTAGAATTGACACAAACAGAAACCAACTAATAGCTAGATACAACTTCAGTTTCAGATTTTGTTGTTCAAGCTTCATCCTAATGTTCATACAAACACATTTCTGATCCTCCACCACCCAACCAATGAATTTTCAATCACGAGCCTGCAAAATAAGTGTAGAAACATTTAACAATGCTAAAATTTACAGAAAATAGGAGAAATTAGGAGATTAGGTTAGATTTATCAAGAAATCGAAATTAACCGGGTTAGAACAAGCATAGTAACGTTTTCCAAGGTTGTTCTTGCTCCATGAGGTATGAATCATAGCTTCAGCTCCATAATTGCATCTAACTGCTATTTTTGTTGGTTGGAGAAAAAGGGGGAAAAGTAATGGGGAAGAAGACCAACGAAGATAAATGATAGCAGGGGAGGCGCAATGACTCTAATAGGGGCACACAAGATGAAATGGCGAAAATATCCCTGCGTGCAAGGCAAGTGATGCACCCAAACGGAGAAAACTAACGTTTAACGATAATAGGGATTGGGCGGGTAGTATTTAAATACATGAGGGACGGTCTGGGTTAATTTTCAAAAATAGAGATTGAACGTGCAATTTGATACTTGGGTCGGGGAAGATTCGTGTAATTTACTCTTTTTTTTTTTTGCTCTAAATTCTTGACAGTCTTTTAATAAAATTTAGTTGTTCCATAAAAAGATTTGTTTTTTTTTTTTTAACTATTTAATTAAACAAGTTATTTAAAAACCAACATTTGATATTTTTGATTCCATATCAAGTACTATCGCATGGTTCCAACTATTTTTTTTAACTTAATTATCAACTTTCAAAAAATTTGTCAGTTAACTGTACCATTAGTTGAACATAATTATGTATAAAAATTGAAGGAAGGCACGAAGATAGGTTTTACACATTCATTTCAAAAATTACCATTCTACCATGTTATGTGAAGTGAGCGAAAATAACTACACAAAAACGGGTGTTATAAAAAATTAAGCTCAGAAGTGCCTTTTTATCATGTAAGAATTCCATGATTACCTGATGGACCCCGCCATCAGAAACGGCTTGTCATCATAGCTTGATATGCACCAGCCGGGAATCGAACCCGGGTCTGTACCGTGGCAGGGTACTATTCTACCACTAGACCACTGGTGCTTTTGTGTTACTAGCTCGCTAATTTCCTAACATTATGTTACATGTCGTTAGTTGTCTTTGAAAAATGAATTTCAAGTTTTCATTCACGAATCTTTTAGTTTCTTATCAGTGTTTGGCATATTTCATACACATTCGAATACATTATTGAGAACACTAACCATTTTTTTTTTTAAACGGACGAATCTAATGAAACACTAATATATGAAAAAAAGAATAAAGAAAAAAAAGATCTCCACGTACTTGGTTCTGCTTATGCTCAATCTTCTTATTTTCTCAGAAGACGATGTAAAAGCGATCATATCATATAAATGGAGAAGCATGATTAGTACTAATAGCCATTTTGGTTTTGTCCCAATGGAAAGAAACATCACCAAGCATCATTAGTACTAACAGCCATATTTAATTTGATTTTATTGATAGTATCTTGACCTCTTGTGATCTTGTTGTAAATAAATAAAAAGAAAAAAATATATATTGGAAAAGGCAAAAAGTTAAGGACTGAGCTTTTGACTTTTGTAAAACAATTTATGTAATTTTGTCTATGTATTATAGTTGGACTAAAAAGTACATGTTTGCTAATTATAATACCTTTAGTTCAAAGGTTTTGTTTCTTACAAAGATTGTCCCTAATCCAAACTAGATTTGCACTCTTCATCCCTCACCCCAACACCAACTGCCGTTATGTGGCTTCCATTCAACTCCTCCTCATATGCCTTGCACATGTAACATGAGGGCATTTTGGTATTTTCACACGCTCACACATCCATTGTTATAGATTCCCTCCATCCTCTTTGTTTGTACAAGGCTATATAGAAAACCTTATTATAAAAGAACGTACGTGTAACATTCCTCATAGGCTTGCAACAGGCATGTTATAGAAGGTAGCACGACACAAGTAAGTCGATATTTCCTTATCCTTTAGCTTGAACTCTATAGCAACTACTGTCAAATTCCTTCCACTCCTTATCACAGATGCATCAATCATCACTTCTGCCTGTTTGCTCATATACAAACAATTTGGATTTCAATATCATATCAACACTCAATACTCTCATCTCATGATAATCACAACAGCTTTAATCGGATCAAACACATACTTGGTTCACAGCAGCAGCTAGATACGAGACGCTCAATTCACCAAGAAAAAGCTCTTTATCTTTGTGGACAACAGTTCTTGCACAAGCTATGGCCACAATCTCTGCTATTGATCCGACTGCTCCTCCATGTAAAGTGTTATACCTGTTCTGCACAGTGCCAAACACCCTTTACACAGATAAGTGATTTGAAGAGATTCCAGAACTATATAGAGCAGCTAAAGTTGGGATTTCAAAAGGGTTTTGGAAGTGAGTATAATCGTATCAACTATGATCTTGATCTATACTTTGACCAAACTTGAACGTGTAAAAGTAACCACAAATTACAGAAGGAAATTCCATAAACAAAATTCTAGGTTATCGAATAGAATAATAACGCAAACAGAAAATTTCACGGAAGAAGTGAAATCACAGCTAGAGAAAGATAGAGAAATTACGCAAACGTATGGTTTGACGGTGAAGATGCAGGTTACACGGCCGCGATGGATATGTTGAACTTTGAGCAGGCTGCGGATCAAATCGGAGTGGACTCCCTCACCTTCGTACTTCGCCGGAAGTACGAAGCTATCGCCGGCGCTTGTGATGATTCCGTTGACCTTTGCGACGGTTTCCGAAGGCATCTCTCTAGATGCGACGCTTGCCGCCATTTCCCCAAATGGATTTTCCCTCTTGCTTGACAGATTTGCGTCTACCACCAAATCCTTTACTTTTATCTGATGTGCCGTTCCAGTTTTTCATATTTTAAACCATCCGTCAATGTCATGGCCCCAAAATACGATAAAAAATAGAAAATCAGTCACACCGATACATAAGAAAAAATGTTTCATAACACAAAGTAAAACAAAAATACAAAAGGTGTGAAAGCAAATTTCATAATGTGAGTTTAAAAACTCGTTATAACATACTTTTAGGGATTGTAGTAATTGTAAAGATAAATATTTAAAGTCTCAAAAGAATTGTCTTTATACCTGTTTATCTTCTTATGGTTTTCATATGCCCCAAATCGCTTCACTTTTATTTTCTTGGTATTCCTGTAATCAATATTTTCTTTTCAAAAGCCACCAACATCTTATATACAGTAGTAAGTTTTTATCTATTGTATTTTAAATCGTCAAACAATCAAATCGACAAAAATAATATTGAAAATTCTATGTTGATAGTTGCAGATAATAAATCCAATGATTATTATTATAGTTACCAAGTTTCATCCTGAAACTAGATCAATCATGTGCAATCAAATCTGATTATAAGAAATGTAAAAGAAAGATTGTTATGTTATTGGACGAAATTAAAATACGGAATGGTAAAGTAAAACCAACCTCATAGTTGTTGATGTCGACTCGTGTAAGACTGCTCAGAGGCCAAAGAAACTCTTGTCCATTAAACGAGTTATATGGGTTTGGTTTGACCCATTAACTTGTGAACCCGCAAAACCATATACTTAAAAGGGTTATATGGGTTGAGTTGAGTTTATGTTTTATGACCCACCACCCCCCAACCCGTGACCCGCAAACCCGAACCCAACCAAATTGTTAGGCCTAGTTTGTTCCCCCACCAATGAAGGATAAAGCACTACTAACTCTTTAATGACGTGCAAACAATGACACACGCTGATAGATGACACGCATTTGTGCGTGCCCTAAAAAAATGACAGTTTTGCAAAATTTGAAGGATAGAGGACACGTGCGTTGCCCTAAAATTAGTGTCAAAAAAGAAAAAAAAAAAAAAAATGCAGAGGGCGTCTTTCATAAAATGTGTGTCATCTAAGAGTGTCGTTTTATAATTTTTTAATGAAACATGCATTTTAACGGCGGGATTTCACCCGTCTATTGGATCCCAAAAAATAAACCCCCCCCCCCCCCCCCCGAGACCTCTTTCAATAAACAAGAAAAACCCCTAGGGCCTTCATCTTCATAGCAGAATTGCTATTGCTTTCGTGATCAAATGCCTCACGATGGCGATGATAACGATCATCGCCATATTTCTTCTTTGCTTTACCCGGTTTCTCCTCTCATCACACACTTTCTTTCCCGCTTCCATCCCATTTTCCTTGAGACAAACCTACCTCTGCCTACCATCTCCAACACTCCACCATTGACCCTCCCCAGTATCATACCTCCTCTAGCTACTTCTATCCTAGAGTCGGTGATTTATGGCATTATGACTTCAAATCCCTCATAGCGTTTGTTACTCGTGATTTTTTGTCATCCTTATAAGCCCTAGGTCCTATATATATATATATATATATATATATATATATATATATATATATATATATATATATATATATATATATGTTTGTGGCTCGTGCAAAGCACAACCCATGGAGGGTAATTTGGGCATTCTAAAAATTTGAGGTGCAATATATAATTCGGTGGATTTTATAAAGTGCGATTGACTAATCAATATCGTAAATGTAAGTACACTGTTTCATATGAAAACAAAATACATGTCTATTATCAATTAAAAAATCTAAGTAGGTTGCTATTATGAGTAAGCAACTGAAAGTAGGTTTCTATTATATGTAAATAAACTATAACAAGCATTAATAACATTAATGGAGAATAAATATTAGACTGATCAGGTCTTTCTTGGTAGATATGAAATGGCTTTATGACATAGCACAACATTGATAGCCAGTGATGAGCAAAAAAGATAAAATAAATGCTACATGTATTCATACCAAGGTTACTTTGAACCAAAGTAAAGTTAGTTGCATAAAACAACATATAAGAAGTATAACAGTGTAATCATCCGTTTATACTTTTTTTTTAAATAAGTTCTATATGGATGGTAGTAAATTGAGGTTACATGATTTGCCACATTCCAGTACTTGCGCCAAATGCAATAAAAATCTTTACTATTATATTAATAATAGTTTAGTGCCTAATCGATAACTTGATGAAAGTGCATAGTACTTTTTTGTATTTTACCCAAGTAGAGTGTACAGTTAAACATATTGACAACCACCTGGGACATTTATGAGCTTGAAAAAGCTGTTAAGAGTCTCCGATTTTAGAACCCACATCCACTTGCCACGTGTTCATCCAACAATATTTGATTCACGTGTGAAAATAACCTGCAAAATTAGCGATATAAGACAATATAAAGATATAAAATTTATGATACAATGACATATTACTATTTAAAGTATTAAAAAATTGGGCGTTGGTGTGTTGCCAACCAGTATGAAACCGTCATTAGTAAGGTGCTGTTTGTTTTTTGGAAAAAAACCTCTTCAAACCTCTTACTGCTGCACGGCGCAGCACACGCGCAACACTTTTCATCTCGCAGCTGTTTGTTTTTTAGAAGTCTTCTGAGTCAAAAACCTCTGCGCAGGCTCTGTTTGGTGCAGCACTTGTACTGCCTCTTCTAACCTCTACAACATCTTCTTCTTCTTTTTTTATTGCTGAAATTTTGATTATATGTTATTAAAATTTTATTTCACATTTTTTTCTATTTTTTTTTTCGTTTTTTCATATTGATTTTATTTTTCATTTTTTTATATTCAATAATGATAATTTCTTGATGAAATATCATTATGTTTTACTAAAATATCTTTATTTTTAGTTGAAATATCATTCTTTTTTACTGAAATATCATTAACTTTTACCGAAATGTTATACATTATTAAATTTTACGTATTAAAAAGCTATTTTCGGTTTATAAAATTAGTTTATTTTAATTTTTTAATATCTGCAGCAGTATGCAGATGTTAAAAAAACAAACACGCTTCTTATTATAGTCTGCAGCCGTTTGGTCCACCTCTTCTACTGCAGAGGGTTGCAGAGGTGGTCCGCAGACTTTATGAATTTTTGCTTCAGAAAATCAAACAACACCTAAATCTCTGCAACTTATTTTTGCATAAGGAGATTGAGAGACACTAAACCTTTGGATATAAGCAGCACTAACACAAACCCACATTTTTGTATAAATTTAATTTCTTCGTTGTGATTCTTGTAAATAAATAACATTATGATATTATATTATAGTTGAGCAGGCAACTATGGAAAATTTATCAACCAGGCATGGACAGACTATTTTTTGAAATGTGTTTCGCTCATCATACTGATCACCATTTTATCAAAAAAAAAATACTAACGAAATTAGATAGTAAAATAGCATAGTGAAATGGAGTTAAAAATATACATTCATGCAATATTTTATTGAAACATAGTCTATTGAAGATGTTTGCATTAAAGGAGACATAAAACTATAAAGATACATGTCCCAAATATTCACAAGAACACATTGCTAGAGATTCACAAGAACACATTGCTAAAAGAAACAACCATATGTAGCTTTATGGATTTAGTTCTTAACCTGTTCAACCCATTAAGTAAAAATGAAACAACCCCATAACCCAGTAAGCTATATATGGGTATTTTTTTACTTGATGGAGAAAAAACGATTAAACATCCTAATAACAAGGAATAAAACAAGGAAAAAGTAAATGTTCAATCAGCAAATATATATTGGTGGCATAAATAGAGCTAAACCTTCATGGGAGGTGTAACCCTTAGCCTGTGAGATAAATAGAGTAACTGGAGAAGCATTTTAAACCGGAAAAAAAACTACATCAATATTAAATTGGAACAAAATCAAGACTAAATGAAACATAAACATCAGTAAATCATGAAATCTTCATAGTTTTCATTCACATTCAACGATTAAATGAAAGTTAAAGCTGCAAATGGAAACTATTCATTAAATGCAAATAATGAAAGGTTTGTTAGCCCTAAATGTCCACTCAAGATGTGAATGAAAGCCAATTAAAATGGTTCTAATTTAATGCTTCAATTTTCTTTGATTTAGGAATTTCGTCACCAATAAAAATTAGTAATTGCATCATTTCTAATTTGCTCTAAATCCATATAATTACATAATCAGTTAATTTAAAATCAAAGCTACTAAGATTAATTTCTAGAACACGATCGAAGAATAAAGATACAATTAGAAAAAAGAAAGTTGTAATTCTACCTGGTGTCGTAATAAGTGGTGGAGGAAGTTAGGGTTAGAGAGTTGGTGGAGAAAGGGTTACATAGAGAAACAACAAAACCCAAAAACAGACAAATAGAGAATGAGAGAAGAGAATTAGTGGTGTATTGGTTAACAAACAACATCAAATACCGAGAATGATTTAGAACAGAGCCCTAAATTGAAAGGAAAACGAGGAGGGTATAGTAAATTATCAGCGCACTGGTGGACGTGGATGCTATTCATCACCGATTAAGTAACAAATGGGCCGATTGTAAACATCAAAGGAAAACATGTCGTGATAGGATGTAGAAGAGAAGCAAGAACCAATAAATTGTAGGAAATCGAAGCCAGCAAAGTAAAATTGATTTTGCCTTGATATGAGATGAAAAGGGGAGAGGTCGTATAGAGGGGAATCAGAGAATTGTCTAGCATCATAGGGAACATCGGCAATATCAATGTGAAGGGAAGCGGTGGCGCACACAATCTCGAGCATCAAACATATACACATAGGAAGACATTGTGAATCGATGTTGATGCCATGGCGCCATTCAAAAGGTGGCTGACGTGGCGGCCAATAAACAACGTGAAATTGAAATAGGAGGCCTGAGAAAAACATGGTTTACACAGAGAAAAAGGATTTGCATCGGCACAGTGGTAAGTTGTTTCGTTCTGTTGTGCGGATGGAATTCGGAAATAGGACCCTGAAAGAAAGCGGTTGAGAAAAGATGTACCTTTCTCTTTGAAACGTCTTGTCTAAAGCGACGATTGATTGTCTTCAACCGTTGCCATATGCGTTTCCTTGAGGCATGCTCACGCGTTGTACACGCTTTCTAAAAAATAAGGTTTTTTTATTTAATAATGATATATATATATATATATATATATATATATA